ACACAGATCGATTGATACAGGAGCATTTGTATCGATCGATATTGTGTCAAATCCGAGAAAATATGGAAAGTTTCATTAAACTTTTTCTTATATATCTTTAGGGTTTTAGCCTCCACTAATAAAGTACTCAATTTTTCCATGGATCAAACCATGTTAAATCACTGTATCTTTCTTTTCTATTCATATATTCTGTTAATCTGTTTCTTCTCACGTCAATCACAACATTGGCTTTGAATGTGGTTATATATTTATTTACTTTTTAGTTAAGAGATGACGCGTTACGAGTCGTAACTTGTTTCCATCGAACTGATTCGATTTAGAACTTGTTGTTTATAAGTAACTAGTATTATGGCCCATGCTATGCATGGGCAAAGGAATTGCTAAAATAGTTCATACAAATATAGTTGTTAAAGGTATATCATTATAATTTATTTTAAGAGAACCAAAACATAAATCTTGATTGCCACAGAAAAAAGTATTTTAGATTATTGGCAATTCTTGAAGTTTGTAATGAATTTGAACGACAATTAGGAAATCAAACTAAAACCTGAAAATATTACAATTACCTAACTAATAACTAAGAAGTCTTGAGAGGGCAACAAAAGCTGAAATTAGACCCAGGGGCTTGAAGCTTCAGGCTGTCTCAATCCAGCTAATGATAGTTGCATTCATTACAGTTTTGATAAACTCTGCCGGTCTAAAAAAGATTATGCCGGTCTAGCTGGTACCAGCCAAACTTTATTAGTGGAGCTAGCTTTTCATTTTCACCTTGAGGAAAACAGTTCCTTTCTTCATTTTACTATTGTTGTCTTTTGTCTCAGTCAACTCCGAATTATAAATCTATGTAGGACGCCAAATATAATAAAAATTATAGATTTAGCATGGTTGGAAATATGTAAAAATACCAGATGAAAACATCTGCTTTAGTATTACCCAAAATTGATATGTTCGTTCCACATTTGATAGGGATCTGGAGTGAATCTTACTTAAACACCTGAAACAAAAGATAAATATTAAAACATACACAAATGCTTACAGAAAAACCAACATGAATATAGAATATTATTTACATCAAAATCATCTAATAATATTATTTGATGAAGCATGTTCAGTATTTTTGCACTCACGACAATAACACTAATGCATGTTTAACGCAGAGTTTAAACATTAATCATGGATCTTAAAATGAAAAATCGTTTAAAATTTTAGCGAAGATAAATAGATAAAAAGTGATTACCTTCTGTGGTTTTATCCCCTAAACGTTGACTGCCACAGAACACATTTTAGGGCTGATTGAGAACAATTGGCAGAACATTTATGAAGTAAAAGGAAACTCTATGTTGACATTTTTATCCAGAGGTTTCTTTACGCTTTTCTTTTTGCTAAATGGTTTCTAAATTATATAGAAGCAAAAGAAGTGAGGATTAGTGGGAGGTTACTTAGAAGTCGTGGAAAACGGTTTTGCTAAAAATAATTTTATTAAACTTTTAAACAAAAATTCTTTAATTAATTTATAAATAATGAATGACACGTGTCATTCACAGAATTCTCAATTGACTTCTGTTTTATATAATAAAAGATTCTTGTTTAGGGTTCGGAAAGGGTGATCACGAATCTTGTTTCTTGTCGTGTCGATTGTTCAAAACCATTGTGGCTTAAGATTCTTGTGTTAATTTCAGGATGACTGATCCGTATGATGCGTTTAAAATCTTAATAAACTTCGTTGAGACGCATTATCGATTTTATGAATGGATCTTTTCGTTTCGATTAACTGTTTTTATAGCACCATTATTATTAAGCAACTCTAGCTTTATGGATGTCTTGAGTATCCAAACCTTAGTAAAATTCAGTTTTTGTTATTAATCTGCAGTTCTTTTTCTTTCTTAACGTTTTTTTTGGGGTTAATTTGCCAAATAACCAATTTTAGAGATAAAATGAAGAATATAGCTATGATTTTGACATTATTAAGTCAATGACAATTTTTTTCAAGTTTCATCCGGTTTTATCCTTTTTCATAACAAGTTGCAGGTGAAAGAGAAAAAAGTGATGATGTCGATGATAAAAAAACATGTGGACCTAAAAAATCAAAACTATAACTGGTAAAAAATCAGTAGTGTTCATCTATGGAGGATATACACTGGTCGACAGAAGATGTGTTGGTGGTAGTTACAACGTCGGTGTGAAAATTATGGTAATAATGGTTATGGAGAATGAAGCAGTAGAGGATACATGAAAAAAGAGATTACTATGGTTGTGGTGGTGCTTGTGGTGATTGTCGACGTTATTATTTTGGATTGAAAAAAGACATTATAAATAGAATGGAACATATTAAATAGTATAGTACGTATTGTTCAAAATATTAAAATGTCTATGATTGAAGGACATGATGTAATGTATATCCTAATGTCAATCCAAACCTTTCATTAACTAAATCATAAACACTAATTACTAAATCCTAAAGGAACATATAAAACCTAACCAAATATAAAAAACATATGCACACAGTACATACTATGAAATAGTATCAAAATAGAATAGTGAAAAAACGAAATAGTATAGTATATATTTTTACAATTTGAAATGTATATGATTGTAGGGAAGAAGATAATGCTTACTCCAACATCAACCCAAACCTTACATAAACTAAATTCAAAACACTAATCACTAAACCCTAAAAGAAAATATAAACCCTAACCTAAATATCAAAATATGCACATAGTATATAATTTGAAGCAAGATCAAAATAGAATAGTAACAAACGCAATAACATAGTATATATTGTATGTCTACGATCTCAGTAAACGAGGTAATGTCTATCTCAACATCGACTCAAACCTTCCATAAACTAAATCCAAAACACTAATCCCTAAATCCTAAAAAAAATATAAATCCTAAACGAAAATATCAAAATATACATATAGTACATTCTGACATTAGTACTATAATATATGTCCAAAATAAAAAATAGTATAGGCAAATTTTTAAATTGTAGTGATAGTGGTTATGAGGATTTTTCAGAGGTTGATACAAAATATATATCATAACTTATAGATTTGGTGGTGATTGTGGTTGTAGAGGCTATGCTGTTAGTGGTTAAGTGATGGATGTAGTTTTGGAAGAAGTCATGATGATTAAGGTAACGAGTTACAGAAGAAGTGATGATGATTGAATAGGTAATGGTTCATAGGAAGGAAGCAAGGGTAAATACATGTGATAAAGTGAATAATATGTATTTGGTTATTAATTGAAGGTTGCGGTGGTGATAGTTAAAGATTGCGGTGGTGGTGGTGGTCGATAAACGTAGAAGAAAATAGTTAAAGATTAAGACAATAATGGTTGGTAAAAGAAGAAGTGGCTGATTTGACCAAAAAAAAAAAAAAAAAGAAGAAGTGGCTGTAAAAGAAAACAGTACCGGATGATAGGAGTAATATAGTATATATTATACTAATAATGGAGACATTTTATTTTTTGGTTAGATAATTAATTATGCTTTATTTTTTGGTTATTCTACCCAATTTCCCTTTTTTTTGTTGGCTTTGAGTTTAGTTATATGTTTACTTACTTTTTAGTTTGAGTTTGGAATTGTTAAATACTTTCATTCATGTTTGAAAAATACAAATAAAGACTTAAAAATAAAATAAAAATCTAGTTTTTTTATTACAAAAATACTTTAATGATTCATTTATTGATTATTTCAATCTCAATTATTTGAAAATAAAGTAATAAATGTTTTTATAATAAAATATATACTATATTATAATTGATTATATGTTTGTACAATTTTGATTATATATACTTTTAAGCAACAACAACAACAGTGATCTCACTTCTCTCAAACAAGTCATAGAACTCATTCACAGCACTATGTACCTTTTCACACCGATACAATTCCAACCTCAAATGGTTTTTACTATACTCTTCAACTGATAGTTGTGAGAAGAAAGAAAATGATTAATCCAACTGCTTTACCAGACCTTCACTATCGAAAGATACCACGAGAAGAAGCAACTCAAGACCAAGACCATCAGTCTCCACCCTCAGGATGTCTGGTGATTTTATCTCAATGACTTTCTCTAATCACATTTATGATCTTTTGTTTAGTTATTCTCAATACCTTTTTGTAATCATGTAACGTGATGATCAAGTATGTGATTAAGAGTGATATTACTTCAGTTTAAAGGATGACCCTATTGTAGTCACACGAAGGTCAAACAAGAGCAGTACTCTCTTCATTCTCTTTATGAATGGATAGACTGATCAGAACTCTGACATTATGTATTCTGATGTGGCTAATCTGTTAACAGAACAATTTACCAGTGATCCTGATGAGTACATGTACACCTACACCTACAAAGTGTGCTTTATCAAAGGAGTACCTGAAGTAGACATTAATTGCGACCATCTGGTTATAAGCAGAGATGAAATATAGGGATCTCTTCCAAGAGCACTAAGAAGCTGGTTGGCTTTATGAGTAGTGTCCCTTTCAAAATCCAAATAGGTGATGCTCATGTTGAATTGGCAGATTTAAGTTTTATCTGTGTTCACAAGGTTCTCAGGAAGAGCTGTATTGCTCATTTGAGTTCAGTCATGATCGATGAGATGACAAGAAAAGTTAACTTGGGGACTGTTATCAAAGTTGTTTATTTCACACTTGCAGAGCGCGCTCTACACCAAGAATCACCTGCCAATCATGCTGTTTATTTCAAAAAAAAAAATTAGGAAAGAAAAAAGCTTTAAGAACTGCAGTTTGGTAACAAAAAACTGTATTTTACTAAATGTTGAGATATTCAGGATCTCCATGAAGATATAGCAAAACAATATGGTTTTGCAGAGTTTGTTAAAAGTAAATAAATTCTTAAAGCTATTTTTTTCCTCAGATTTTCTTGTTAGCTTTGATTGTGGTTATATATTTATTTACCTTTTAGTTTGGATTTGGAATTGTCTATACTTTCATTCATGTTTGAAAAAAAAAAAAATTAGATTTGTTTTGGAAATATGGGATGGTTGAACCAGGTATATCGCTGTTGAAATTTCTAAGTCTCCTGATTCTATATGTCTCCCTAAGACTTGAAAGAACAAAGGAAATGATAGAAGTCTCCTGATTAGTAAGCAACTCTAGATTTATATAGGTCTTGAGTATCCAAACCTTAGTAAAATTCAGTTTTGTTATTAATCTGTGGTTCTTTTTCTTTTCTAAAGTTTTTTGTTGGCTTTGAGTGTGGTTATATATTTATTTACTTTTTAGTTTCGATTTGGAATTGTAAATACTTTCATTCATGTTTGAAAAATAAATAAGAGTACAAAAATAAAAATTAGATTTGTTGATTAGAAAAAATACTTTAATGACTCATTTATTGATTATTTAAATCTCAATTATTTGAAAATAAAGTAATAAGTGTTTTTATAATAAACTATATACTATATTTATGATTGATTATATGTTTGTACAATTTTTGTATTACTACTTTCAAGCAATAACAACATTGATCTCACATCTCTCAAACAAGTCACAGAACTCATTCACAACACTAAACCATTTGACACCAAGACGATTCCAACTCAAATGGTTTGAGTATACTCTTCAACCGTTAGTTGTGAGAAGAAAAAAATGATTGATCCAACTAAGTTATTTTGGATGAAGTTGCAGAACCTGTTTCTCCTCCTCATCAACCTTCATCAGGTCCCTTTGAGGTTCAGATTGTCCACAAGATGATGAAAAAGAAGGGTAAGATGAAGGTTGTGAAAGAAGAAGAAGGAATACCTGAAGTCTCTGTCGTCTCTACAGAAGATAATAAGAAGAAGCTGCCTCGTGCCTCATCATTTAAAATCTCTTCTCCAGATGAGGCCGATCTCAAGAAAGTGCCAAAGGAACTTCCCCCTTTGTTTGAACTGGTCACATGCGATTTGAGCTCAAATGATATGTCATATGTGTGCTCAGGTTCAGAAGCTATTGAACGAAAACTTTGCTAGCCCTGCAAAGTGTGCTTTTTCCAATGAGTATCTGAAGTGGGCAGGTTATAAGAAGGAATGGAATATAGGGATCTCTTACACCAAAAAAAAAGGAGCTGGTTGGCTTTATTAGTGCTGTCCCTCTCAAACTTGGAATAGGTGGTGATGATCAGGTTGAAGTGGTGAATGTAAGTTTTCTCTGTGTTCACAGGGCTCTCAGGAATAACAGCAGTGCTCCTTTGAGTTCAATCATGATCGCTGAGATGAAAAGAAGAGTTAAGTTGGAGACTGTTACCAAAGCTGTTTACTACACACTTGCAGAGCGCTTTACACCAAGCATCAGCTGCCACCTATGGTTCTTAGGATTGGAGAACAGAAAACAAGAAGCAACAGTTACTCAAGGATTAAGGAAAATGGAAAGATGTGATGTAGCTTCTGTTACCAAGCTTCTTAGAGCTCACCTTAGGCAGTTTAAAATCTCTGCCCACTTTGAAGAAAATGATGTACAGCACTAGTTCCTGCCTCGGGAAGATTTTCTTTACAGCTATGTTGTAGTGAAGCCTGGAACTCAACGTGTTAGTGATTTTTTTAGCTTCTACGCACAGCATTTCACTAGGAAAGATGGTGTTATTCTAAAGACAGCATTTTCCTTTTACCATGTTGCTTCAAGTGCCTCCTTGGAAAACCTGATGAGAGATGCCTTGAGAGTAGCTAAGAGAAATGGTTTTGTCTCATTCAATTCGTTGAATATCATGGGGAATGATGTATTTTTGAAGAAGCTGAAGTTCTCTAAGGTAGGAGCTCTGGTCATTATCATTTTCTCAGTTGCAACCATCTTTCCAAATTGAAGCCATCAGAGATTGGCGTTAACCTCAAAGTTTGTTGAATATCATGGGGAATGATGTATTCTTGAAGAAGCTGAAGTTCGCTAAGGTAGGAGCTCTGGTGCGTTATCATTTTCTCAGTTGCAGCCATCTTTCCAAGTTGAAACCATCAGAGATTGGCGTTAACCTTAAAGTTCGTTGAATGGTTTGAGTTTTTTTTTTGTGAGAGAATACTATAGTACTCTACGGATTTGAAACGAAACTGAAAATACTCTCCACTCACATTACTTGAATACTTGGTTTGTTTTTCCTTGTGAGAAATACTTTACGGATATATGAAACGTGTAGTGTTGATGAAACACGTGTATAGCTCTTGAATATGAAACGTGTGTAGCTCCTCTTGAATAGTTAAGTAGTTGAGAGCTGTTGATGAACACGTGTATAGCTCTTGAATATGAAACGTGTGTAGCTCCTCTTAAATAGTTGAGTAGCTCTTGAATAGTTGAAACTGTGTATAACATCTGCGTGTAAATGATTATTAAGTCCCTGCAAAGCAAGCAAAGACTCTTGATAGTAGCCCACTGCTTAAAACAAATTTTGTTAGCTCATTCATCGTGTTATAAAACAAAATTTTGACGAAATAATTGGTTATACAGTTATCAAATTGCATCCAATTCATTAATGTTTGACGAAATAATTCAAGTAAGTTAAATTGGTTTATACAATTACTAGGATAGATCCGCCCTACGGGTTGGGATGCAAAAGAAATATTTAGTTTCATCTCAATTTGTGGAAATTATAATATATTTATTGTGAGAAGTTTTGTTATTTTTATTAAAAATCATATGTTTATCTCGCTAATAAAGAAATTTCATTTTTATTATGTAATTATTTATATTTTCCAATACTGCATTATTCTTATACTTTGTTACGTCCGGATTTTTCCTGTAAGTTTGGTTATATGTTTGTATTTTGTTTTGTGCAGCATATGTTTTGTATTTATATGTTATAAAATATAAGTCATTAGGTAATTTTAAAATTATTTCAATGTCTTGTTGATAAGCATGTTCTTTTTTCTGTGAATACATGTTTATAGTGAGTGCTTAGAGTAAGTTGTATTGAAAATGGTTAGATCCTAGCTAGATGTTTAAGTGATGGAAACTTATGGACATTATTGCCTGGCGTTAAGTTATAGATTGTTAAAGGTGTTTAATGCCTATTTATTTTCAATGGAGCGGTATTTTGTTTAGCTCTGAAACGTTACATCTTGGTTTTTTGTGGTAGATATTTTACATGGATGCTTTATAAGTATGTCATCTAAGTTGGGTGGATCTGTCTCTTCTGAATGTGTAGTCACTAATTGTGGTATTGTGATGGGTTCTTAAACTCAAAACATATGTATTTGAAGGGTTTGTAAATTGTAGAACGAATACATATTTTCAATCATGAGCCATTGGTTATTTAGTTATTCTTTATTACTTGTCGTTGGCTTGTTATGAAACATACTACAACCGAACGCAGAGTATTATATATTTGTCTTCTTCAGTTTACAATGAGCAGAGTCCTTACTGATACTCAAATATTATACTTTTAGATTCTAATTATAACTATTGTATTATTTGATAAGGTTCGGTCTGTGGTACGTGTGGAATGTGATGTAATTTTTAGTACTTAATATCAATTACCGTCTTTGGTTCATATAGTTAGCTTATTGTTTTTTAAATTTATTTGGTATTATCTGGAACATAATTTTGGAAGTCATTATGTTTTTGTTGCTCTCTAAAAAATTTGTTGTGTTCGTCAAGAAGATACCTAACATGCTGTTATTATTAACGTCGGGATCCAAAAGCAGATCTTACTATGATTGCTGAGAGAATGAATAGTATTTGATCGAGACCAATATGAAAGCATTGTAGTCGTACAATATGTTGATTGAGAAAGGTTAAATCTGCAAACGCTTATACCTTATCATAACCATTACTTATTACATATTTTTTCTGTTTCTCAATGCGTAGTCATGACATTAGCATGAAGTCTAAATGTTATTATATTCCAGCTGGATTACTTTTAATTTGAGTAAGATGATATGTGAGTGTTTAAAAGAAAAATGTATCGATGAAAGAGTAAGATAATATGTGCTGAGCAGGTAAACATAAACGGTTAAATATCATAAGTCGTGAGAATGATGATAAACTCCAAGAATTTTTTTTTTTTATCATAGTTTTAGATTTTTAACAAAACATATCAAACTCCATTATAGGACATTTTTTTAGGAAAAAAAAACAACGTTAATACATACATTATTGAAATAGCAAGTATTCAATCCGCATCCCAGCCCTAATCTTAACCTATTCCTTTGGTGGCTTCTTGACCACCTTTGAAGATTTTGATGCCTGAGGTTTCTTGATGGCGACACCACTTGCAGATGTTACTGCAGTGGATATTCCAAAATACTAAATAGTAAAAACTAACTGTAAAACCTGAGGCTCGAAAATGATGCCGAAATCATTGAACTCAGCCGTAGTAAGAGGCTCAACCTTTGCATAGGCTCTCAGCAATAAAGGAACATGGGTGTTCCTAGGGGTATACGTAGACTCCTGATATGAAGAGATACGGGAAAACCTACCACCATCTTGTATATTATGTTAGTGAGACAAAGTTTTGAAGCCTGAGGTCTTCAACACTATAAGGCTGTTAGTATATATCTGAACATCTTGTATGTGAGAGTTTATTATGGATGTAAGAATTTATGAATCATCAAACACTTACTCGTAAAATCAAATCGTCCCTGCATCAGTTTCCTTGTTGAAAATACATGTGTTCCCAATGTGGCATTCAAGAACAAATGTCCTGTAGAAAAATAATTCAAGTGTGTTTCAAGAATATTAGGCTCATCACATGTAAGCAGTCAATTTTAAAATTAGTATAAGTGATAGTATGCATTATGTATTTTTAATTCCATACAGAAATATACCTCATACCATCTTTAGGTTTATGCTACTTGTAACAGTAACCCTTGGATCTCACATGAATCCTTCAAGTTTCTTGTGAAAAGAGACAGCATGTGAGTCATACAGACTCAAAGTGACAGAGATTACCGTGAAAAGGAAGACAAAACATACAATGGTCAATGTAAATTCAAAAGAAATGTAAGATCATTTATGACAATATTGAATAGATTTATATATAGAACAGTTACATGTCGATCTTGATAGTCACCATAACTCGTTTTCTTCCTTGAGGAATGTAACTCTCTGTACTTTTCACAGAAGTGAACTCACCAATAACGGCTTAGGGATTAAGAACATCTTAATTTATTATCTATTTAGGTGATAAGTCTGTCCTAAACAGTCTTTAAGAAATTGTATCTGGAAGATGTGTGTTGGTGCTCGCTAGGCCAAGAAATTCACGGAACCTAAAATGTTCTTCAGGAATGGGAGAATCTAGAATAACAAATGAGCACATCTAGATTGTTTGAATCACTGAACCGGATCTTTCTCAGAAAACGTTATTTAAAAAACAAAAATAGGTTCAGTGAAGATATAAATCTATATAAAATTTTCATTACTTATGAATGTGCCTGCAAAATAAAATAAAACTACTATGAGCATGAGATTTTAAAAATTCAAACCTTGGCATCGAGGAGCATGAGTATCAACTCCCACTAACTCGCCACCGTGTTTACGTTTCTGGCCTCCCAAAATCAGAGTAACCGCACTACGATGGAAAAGAAGTGACCAGCTTTCAAATCACCAAAAGAATAGATAAGTTAGCCATGATTGGGAATTGCTTTGTTTTCTGGAGAATCACGAAACTAAGAGGATGATGTTTAAGGGTAGAAGGCTTACCCTCAAATCGTGCTTGAATCGCGTAGCTGGAGTTAAGAAATCTCTTGAATCGGTTGAATGAAGACAACTTCGTAACGTCTACGTCTGGGGTTACGAAACGACGACTGCTTGATTGGGGACGATTCGTCTGACCCGATTTGGTCTTCTGTATTGCTGGAACTCGAAATTGCAGAGATAGAAAACAACGGCTAACCCTAATTCTCACCATCTGAAGAAGAAAGTTCTCAGAGGCTTAAGAATAGACACATAAAAAATCAGAATATAATTTATGAAACCCAAGCCCATACGTAACACACGTGGCATGCTCAGGTTGAACCATTTGTTGACGTGGCTCTCCCAAGAGGGAGAGAAGTATACTTTATATATATAGATCCTTCTAATGAAATCAGAGGGGAAATTTGAAAAAAATTCTGTTTAATCAGCTCTTATATAAACTAATCTGAAAACAAGTTAAAATCAGTACTAGAGAGAGGAGAGGGGGTTAGTGAGTACCAGCTTCCTGAATCAATGTGAGAGGCACCATAAGATGCTGCGGCAAAGAAGAAGGAGATGTAGCCACCAGTTGACTTTCCCGATTCCATTGCTCTCCAAGGTAAGACACAGAATCATTAGCTTCCTTCCCCTGCATCTTACAGGAGAAGCTTCAGTGCCCCCATTATATTATTAATTTCGAAATTAATTAGTTTTAGTGTTACCTTTAACCCTAAAGTTTTCATATTTGTTGATATGCCGCCGTATCAGTTTCATCTATGTTCTATCTTTTTCTTCTCTTTTTTCCTCTCTTTCTCTCTGCAATTGGAGTAGTGAGAGTTGAGGGCATAAAATACGTGGAGGTTATTAGCG